CATTACCTCGCCCCTCAACTACCAGGATCCTCCTTTCCAGCGACATGGGTCTCCACGCACGACAAACATGTGGGCAGTTTTCTCGAAAACTAGATACAAGGGCTGTTCCAGTTTCTCGAGACGAGCCCCAACCTCTGAAGTGGGAAACCACAAGGGAGAATGCAAAGAGAAAAAGTATCAGCCCAGAGCAGAGGAAATGGAAGAGAGGATAGATTACTGGGGCCCCAGGATCGTGACACATGTCTCACCAAGAAGATGATCCCCTGAAGGGTTAGGGTACCTCGGGATTGCCATTCACAAAAGTGAGCCCCTGAGGGGTGAAAAGAAAGAATCTGATATACAAACTGTAACAGTTTTTATCTTAATTATACAAAATAACCACGCATTCTGATTCAAAATAGGCACCTGCACCAGATAATAATAAATCTTTAAATATCATATACATATATATCAAATGTTGAATGATCTAAAATTCACTTAGTTTGAAAACAAGTTTTTCTAATACTTGTGCAATAGCTGCAAAGTAAGATAATAATAATTTATTTACTAAATATTGATTATATTATCTCCTAATACTCAATAAAACTAATCATTTGCAAAAAAAAAAAAAAAAAAAAAAAAGACTATCTCGATCTTCAAATCATTAACTACAAAAGTATTTTACTGTTTGACAAAACAAGAAACTTCAATTTCAATACTAATAAATTAATAAATTGGACTTACAACATCTCCAAAAAAGTTATTAGTAATACAATATTAAATCAAATACAACGTATTAAAAATATTTGCACAGATGCGATAGATCTATAACGCAAAATTTTGCTCCTTATTAAAATTCTCAAAAATAATCTAATACCTAATCGATTTATTAACCACTGTCTTAAAAGGGCAGGCATTAAATACTCCCTCTAAATCATTTAACTGATAGGGATATGATAATTTGTTCCTAAACCTGAGAAGGCAGTATAAGTTGGATGACTATCAGTTGGAGGATTTGTACATAGTGTAATTACACAATTGTTTATAATGTAAAAAGCTAATTGTTTTCAGACTTTTCTTATGCTGTTACTAAAAAAATGAGTCTATTACATAATCTTTAGTCTGTTAAATAGCTCATTGAGAGTGAAAATTAGGTTTTTCTTTTTCTAATTTTCTTCCCCGTTCCGACATAACAATTTCAAATAATTCAAAGTATCCCCGCTGCCAATAACGGAATTTCGGACACATACCCCTTCTGAGTAAGACACAAAAGAGAACACTTTACCAACATCCCACTAGAAAGAACGTAAGTTAATTAATGCATTTTTCTGGTTTTTTATATCTTCATGTACATTTCACATTTCACTTTCTTATATATATTTCAATTTTTATTTGATTTGTTTTTGCAAAGAGAGCATTGTTATGTTCCTTAATTTTCTCATGTTTATTTCAATTACTTCGAGTTCTATTTCATAATTCCAATTAAGATTACTACTGCTTATTTTTATACAAATAGTCTTGAATTAACGAAGGTGTTGGGGGACTTTTACTCAAGTATTTTGTAAATTTTCCTAAATTGCTTTTCACTCAAAATTTATAAAGAATCTTATGTTAGCGAAAATGCTTAATTCAGAATGAGTTCTTTGGTACTCTACTTTGGTTATAAATCCCATCACTTCACAGAACTACAATTTTGGCCTAACTTAAATTGCCAGTTTGCCATCACCATTCTTACTTGAGTAAAAGACGAAACACCTTCGCATTTATTAATTATTGTTCATTGAACGGGAGTTGGTTTGCTCCCCTTGAAAAGTCAACTAATTTTCGATCAATAGTGATAATTACTTGTTTTTAATTTTTAATTTCTTTTTCAAAGTTTGAAATTTTGTTATTTAAAATTAAAGTCTCTGTAAAGCGGTTAACTTAAATTGCCAGTTTGCCATCACCATTCTTACTTGAGTAAAAGACGAAACACCTTCGCATTTATTAATTATTGTTCATTGAAAGGGAGTTGGTTTGCTTCGATCAATAGTGATAATTACTTGTTTTTAATTTTTAATTTCTTTTTCAAAGTTTGAAATTTTGTTATTTAAAATTAAAGTCTCTGTAAAGCGGTTTTTTTTTTTTTTTTTTTTCATAATTTGCATTCAAGTTACTTTAAAACACAATTTTTGGAATTAAACTTCCTACATATGGGTTCCCTCGTTTTGAAACTTCTACTACATTTATATTAAGAGATAATATAATCAATATTTCTTTAGTAAATAAATTATTATACACATATATATATACACACACACATACATATATCTTTATACACTGACTACCAATAAGTATTTGGACACCTATGCAAATGACGATATCTGTGATCCTAAGGTACGTAACCGACTCTGCCGGTATATATCGTGTAGGAAACAGCATCGGCTTTAGTCGCATGCAAGATGCCTCGCAGTTCGGAGCTCTCTGATTTCGAGAAAGGTATAATTAGCGGGTATCACAAATGTGGCTGATCCTTAAGAGAGCAGTGATTGTCGGAATGTGCCCCGAGTCGTCAGACCAATGAAACTGGGAGATAGAGACCAACGAGTGCTGTCCAGAGAAATTCGGAAGAACTGCACCCAACCGATGGCCCTCATCCGCGAAGAGTTTCAACAGGCATCCGGGATTTTTTCAATGAATACCATCCGTAAGGAAGCACATCTGCTTGGTTTTCATGGTCGTGCTGCTGCCCATAAGCCTTTGATCACAAAGTCCAACCGCGCTGCTAGGTTAATGTGGTGCAAAGCACATCGAAATTGGACCATAGATCAGTGGAAATGGGTTCTTTGGAGTGACGAATCAAGGTTCACCCTTTACCGTTCGGATGGCAGGGTCTGGGTCTGGCGTCTACCTGGAGAACGTCTCCTGCCAGAATGCATTGTGCCAACAGTCTAGTTCGGTGGAGGTCGAATTATGGTCTGGGGGTGTTTCTCCTGGTATGGGCTGGGATCCTTGGTCCCCATTCATGGTAAGCTCAACTCCGATGCCTACTGCACTATTTTGGATGACAATGTGCTTACTACATTGTGGCAGTTTTACGGGTTGGACATCTGTTACTTTCAGGACTACAATGCCAGTTGTCATGTTTCGACGTTAACCAAGGCTTGGTATGGTGCCGATGGAGTTCATCGAATGGACTGGCCTGCCCAGAGTCCAGACCTGAACCTTATCGAGAACCTCTGGGACGAGTTGCATCGCCGAATTCAAGGGTGCACTACCCGTGCAAAATCGGTGAAAGAACTTCTATGTCTTCTTCAAGCAGAGTGGAAGAAAATACCACTAGCTGTCATACAAAGACTTGTGGAAAGTATGCCCCGGAGGGTCCACGCGGTAATTAACTCTCGTTGAGGCTCTACCAACTATTGATTTTGAATAAAGTTAGTTTTTCTTTTCTATCACAGGTGTCCAAATAGTTATTGGTAGTCAGTGTATATATATAAGCGGCTTAAGTGTTTGTCGCCGATAGTTTATTGTTGCCACTCGGAAAAATGAGCATGGAAATTAACGTTTCTGCAGTTTTTAATTAATATCTCGGCCGATTAAAGCCGCACGAAGATGAGAACGGTATAGATGGATTTGGAAAATTTTTTGGAATCTAAGGATATGAGTCTCGAATTTCAACTTGGTGCCATTCCTTAGATATTCAAGAAAAAAGAATTTGCCATGTAGCCAAATCCCTCTAATAAGGAAAACCCAAGAAAGAAAGTGGAAAATTAGTTTTTAATTAATATCTCGGCAGATTAAAGCTGTACGAAGATGAGAATGGTATCGATGGATTTGGAGAATTTTTGGAATCCAAGGATACACGTCTCGAATTTCAACTCGCCGCTGTTCCTTAAATATTCGAGAAAAAAGAATTTGCCACGTAGCCAAATCCCTCTAATAGAGAAAACCCAAGAAAGAAAGTGGAAAATGTAGGGAAAGCATAGAGGAAAATTAGTTTTTAATTAATATCTCGGCTAAATGAAGTCCCACGAAGACACGAATGGTAAAAATGGTGTGCCACAGGCCTGTGGAATTCAACAGTGTGCTTCGCTAAGCCCGGGTTTCAGCCATTTTGGAGGAGATGATGTTACTTCACCTCCATATATATATATGCGGCTTAAGTGTCTGTTTGTCGTCGATAGTTTATTGGTTGCTTGTGTAACTGTACTAGCCAATGGGGTGAAGTTGCCACGGCACAGGGTTGCCGTTTCAATTGAGACGTAGGCAGTTTCCTGTAAAACTTGCCTTTGCTATGACCATCAATATGTCTCAGGGCCAAACACTTAAGCGTGTTGGCATTTTTTTACCTGAGCCTGCATTTGGACACGGTCAACTTTATGTTGCCTGTTCAAGAGTTCGTGAAAGAACAGATGTAACATTAAAAATAATTGATGGTCCTCTGTAAGGGGAGCTTAAAAATGATGTAAAGATCTACACAAATGCTGTGTACAAAGAGATCTTTGACATGTGAATTAATATTTTATTATTTAAATCACCTTTATTTATTGAGCTAGCGGTGGCTCTTAAGAAATGTACCGCCAGTGATTTCCTTCAATGTACTCTACTTTAAGCAATTAGGCAAGTAGAAGGGGGAAACCCCATGGGGCAGTAAGCAAAGGGGCGTCCTCGTTACCTGCCCTGGGTAATTCAGTTTGAATTAGCAGACACCTTTGCACAAATCATCTTAATTACAATTTATAATATCTAGAACAGCGTTCATTTTGTATGACCGCCGGGCTTTCTAGTATATATATATAAGTATACATTATTATAAAGACTATAAAAATTAGTACTTTTCAGTGTAATTTGTAACAGCAATTTAAAAACATTTTTAAAAGAATTTTATCCTAACAGAAGAATTTTTTTATCATAATTTTATATATATGCTCAGAGAATGACATACGCGCTGAGAAATTGGAAAGAAAATAATGCTGAAATGTCAGAAACAAAGGGTTATGAATATATTAAACATAAAACAGAATGTTTCAGCAACTAACTTATAGGAGTGACATTTAGGGAGCCACAATTCCTGCAATAATTTCTGCTTAATTTTCCTTCTTCTACCAAATCATCAATTTGATCATCTTCAAATAAAAAGCTGTCTACATGAATTACTGGTTTGTTAATATCCTCTGGTTTCTAAAATAAATAAAATTTTAAAAGTACATTAGCAATTCCATGGAAAAAAAGTAACTAAATTAAAAGATGAACTACAGTCAAAAGTCGTTAATCCGGACTCGTCGGGACTTCAGCGATTCCGGATTATCGATTTTTCCGGATTATAGATCATCAGTTTAAATCTCGTAAGATGGCATGCAGAAATTCTAAAATGAAAAATATGAAACCGTAATTTATGAAATAAAGAACAATTATGATCTAAAGGGTATCAAAATTTACAAAAAAAAAAGCTTAATATTTATTTATTTACTTTATTAAACATTTCTTTCAATGCAAGTTGTTTAAGTTGCTTCTTTTTATGTGATAATACTTTCTCTTTAATTCTATAAACAGACATAATTTCTTGTTCAGTTACAAAGTTTCGCTGTTCAAGTTCCGTTAATTGCTGTGCCGAGAATACCGACTAACTTGTCAATCGAAATTTTTTCGTTTTCACTAACCTCTCTGTCACTTTCTTCATGTCTTTATCCATTTTTTGCAGCAATTCCACTTTTTGTTTGTTGAACGTCGAAACATTCTTTCGTTTTGTAGATCCTTTGGAAGTTCCAGCATCGGAAATTCTATTTGACATAATTGAAAGTTCAAGTTTACTTTTATAAAATTGCTCTTACAGTCTGCAAAAAATAATAAGCAGGATCCAATTCGAAGATTAAGGAATAACGCAATCATTAACATTAACTGAAATAGATAATTTGATAATTTTAGCTTACACCGTCCGTTATACATTAAACGCACAGGCGAAAACGTATTCTGCACTTGCACACACGCATATGCGCAGTAGTCAAGATCTTACGCGCACGCGGAAAACGCTTGTGCGCATGTCCCAACGCGGAGCATGCGCAGAAAGTTTTTAGCTTTGATGTCCGGATTATAGATCATTCCGGATTATGGGTGTCCGAATTAACGACTTTTGACTGTACTACCAAATATATATAGGCATCACCCATAATGAATCATATACAGTTCAGAATAGTGTTTTTAAAATCAGATAAACGTTAATGAATTATTGGAACAATTAAAATGAATTTTAAAAGAAAATCTAAAATAATTTCACCTTCTACAGAAAATATAATTAATTTACCCAATAAAACTTGTCCCAGGTATATATCATTAAAAAAAAAAACTCGTTAGTTATGCAACCATAGAGTTCCACTACATCATGTTAAATTATTATATAAATTAACTTTCCAATTTTATGATTCTAAACATTTATATTTAATCTCCCACCCCCACATATACATATACACACACACACACACATTATTAACAGCAACAGATTCATTGATACCTAATTAAATAATCACTCCAAAAAAGAAAGAAAAAATTTAAAATTTTGCAGGGAATCTTATGTTAATTAACCAGTTGCTTATAATTTTAGATTTTACTATAACTTTTTCTTTCCGTATTCCTCACCAGAATGCAAATTAGTAGTGGGTATTTAAATTGCAGTTTTTGGATTTGAGACAAAGTGTTTCCGGCATTGTGTACATTTTACATGGTTAGTTTCCTGCCAGCTCTAATATTTCTAATTATTCGGCTTTGTGGTTTCTCACTGCTGACACTTTGACACTCCAGTAGAATTAGTGAACTGGTGTCTAGTATAGAAATTAATTGTGTAATCCTTGACTACTCTTCACTGTTTAAATTAAATTGAACTGTTCTATTTACTTTTCATCACAAGTTGTGGTCATAAGTCATTGAAGCACAAGAGCATGAACTTATGTTTCTAATTCTGATTGAATAAAGAGGTTATTTTAATGGTCTCAAGACTTTGCCATTGTTTCAGACATAATAACAATTCACTTCACATCTGTTAGGATTATAGGACTAGTCTGGTTAAGGGTATTTGGTTATGGTAAAGCACTTGAGAGCTATCTGCCTAAGCGGGAAAGATACATTTCTAGAGGAGAGAAAATGGCTCGTTTACATGTTACACATGGAGAAAACCATGACAGCGGCCATCTAACCAGCCCATTCACCAGGATTCGAAGCCGAGATGAACTATCAGTGCTCAGCGACTTTACTTCTCAGCTGCTGGTAGATCGTTATAGGACTAAATTAGCATTAACATACCAAGTAAAACCCTATAATTTATTATAAAAATGAACTGCACACAGTACAATAAATAACTGGAAACAGGTAAAGGAGTATGCAATTCCTCCTTCATGCATGACAAATATCGTCAGTTCTCAAAATCACTTACTGAGTTGTAGTGTTCTAGCTAAAATAAAGTTATTCGACTCCTAGAACCTAGGAGAACTGTGAGCGACTATTTTCTAGGTTCTATTGAGAAGTAACAAGTTGGAAGAAGGGTTAAAATACCCTATTATTTTAACTCAAAATATTCACAGACGACCCCACCTGGTCGTATAGAAAGCCAGCACTTTTGGCTTGAACTTACATATAAAAAACGTACAACTATACTAATGTTAAGTAAACTAATCAGCCTAAGCTGCACAGTTGTTTAATGCATAGTTGGCTCTTAGCTAAAATCACTGGCGTAGACTAACATGCACATAAAAAGCCTGGCCATAAACTAGCAAGCTTTAACTCATAACAACAGCATGACCAAAACATAGAACATACTCTACCTGAAGTAGTTCAGACCTCAGCTTAAATAGTACAGTCAAAAGTCGTTAATTCGGATTCGTCGGGACTTCGGCGATTCTGGATTATAGATCATTAGTTTAAATATGGTAAGATGGCATGCAGAAATTATAAAATTAAAAATATGAAACCGTAATTTATGAAATAAAGAACCATTATGATCTACAGGGTATCAAAATTTACAAAAAAAAAAAAAAAAAAAGCTTAATATTTATTTGTTTACTTTATTAAACATTTCTTTCAATGTAAGTTGTTTAGGTTGCTTTGTTTTTTATGTGATAATACTTTCTCTTTAATTCTATAAACAGACATAATTTCTTGTTCAGTTACAAAGTTCCGCTGTTCAAGTCCTATAATTGCTGTGTCGAGAATACCGACTAATTTGTCAATTGAAATTTTTTCGTTTTCAATAACCTCTGTGTCACTTTCTTCGCTAGCGGAAGCGAATTATAATGACGAGGAATTTGATTTAAATCATATCAAAGACGGAGTACATCGAGATGAAATACTACATTTAGTAAGGAATTATAAGCCAAATAAAATAAAAAGATCTGCCCTGAAGATAAGGATAGTGCTGACAGATCAACTTCCAATTCATTGCGCGCTGCGGCGTTCCCCCCGGCAGAGCAGCATGAAATTGATAAACAGATTTCGGAATAGTTAGATAAACAAAGGATATGCCTTTATCCATTTTTTGCAGCAATTCCATTTTTTGTTTAATGGACTTCGAAACATACTTTCGCTTTGTAGGTCCTTTACATATTAGTAAATACATATCAGAAATTCTATTTGACATAATCGAAAGTTCAAGCTTACTTTTATAAAATTGCTCTGCAAAAAATAATAAGCCGGATCCAATTCGAAGATTAAGGAACAACGCAATCTGCAACATTAACTGCATTAGATAATTTTAGCTTAGCTTATACCGTCCGTTATACATTCAAACGCGCATTTGTAAATTTTTTTTGCGCATTCGTATTTTGCGCATGCGCACACGCATATTCGCAGCCGTAAAGGTCTTACGCGCATGCATCAACACGACGCATGCGCAGAAAGTTTGTAGCTTTGAGGTCCGGATTATGGGTGTCCGAATTAACGACTTTTGACTGTAGTTTTTATCCTATTTTACATAAAGCGTAAAACAAAAAACTCAATCTGGCAGGAAAACATATGAATGAAAATAAGGAAGTAAAGAAAAGCTATTTCCAACTAAAAATTAACTGTTAGAAAAATAACGTAAGACACCTGTAAATCGTAATTCAGCTATCCGCCAAATATCATAGCTGATTCACAAATAACTCCCTAGCTCTCAAATATGTATACACTATAGCCTATTTATATGCTATACTATATTTTACACAATTTATTGAAGAAAAAAGTAGGATTTTAATTACTGAGATCTGTAAGCTGATTAAATTTAACTTACATATTTTTTAATTGGTTGGTTATTAAGACAAGGCAAAGCAGTAATGGCTATCTGCATATGAATCTCCAAGAAACATTTCCTGTGGAAGAATGACATATTCAAGGAAGACTTTTAAGGAAAAGTAGCTTGTATTTACACACTACACTTGGTGAAAGCTAAGAAAACTCCCATGCACCAGTCTATTTGCCACGATTTAAATCTGGAACAAATTACTATTGTTAAGCAGTCTTATCACTCGGTCGCTAAGAAGCATGTATTTTTGAAAATGTATATAAACTGCTTCATAAAAAAATAATATATATACAGTATATTTTAATTTATTTTTTATTGCAATAAACTTGTAAAATAAAAATTGATAAAAATGTTTTTATTATAAACATCCTAGCAATACATATAAAGAAAATGTCATTTAAAAATTTGCTACACTATCATATAAATACCAACAGATAGATCAACTTGAAATTTTGTATGTAGGTAAGCAATGGGCTCATTTAAACCATAATAGCCCTATCATACTGAAGAATGCAAAATGCAACAAGAAATATTTCCTTCAATATGTGTTTTCTCAAAAATGGTTTAAAAAAAATGCCATGTATAGACTTTTATTCTGAATCCAGAATATTGCAGTATTGTTTTGAATGCTCAGCCAACCATAAACAAGATAAATGATAATTATGAAATGTATGTCACCAATGCAATTGAGCTATTTCCAGTCACTAACTGAACACGGTGACCTAATTACATCGATAAAATAATCAGATGTTCTATTTAATGGGATGTTGCAAGGTTTTAGCTTACAATTTGATAAGAGTTTAAGCCCAAAAAGTACATTAAATTTTAATCCTGTTCCTAATAGTTATTAAAAAAGGGCTAGAAAAAGGCATGAATTTTTAATAATGACAACATCTACTGTTATGCTATTAACAGTTATTACAGAATGAGAATAACAGGATAACACATCATTTTAATGATAAGAGCATTTATGAAATAAAATATAATATAAGAAATCTGGCATTTGTTAACCAGGAAAAATATACAGAATTTTTAGGATATTTTTTGTTTTTGTATGATGCTTTAGTTTCACTGATGCTACCATGAGCAAAACATATAATACAGCTAATAAATATTATTGAATATGTATAAATAATTATTATATTTAAGTATGTGCTTTAAAAGTTCTTAATATCTCTTTACTTTTATGCAAATTTTTCTAGTAATAAACTTAATAATAACCTCATAATAAAATTTTATATCATTTTATCCATGTAGTTATAGTGAAATTTAATATACAAGACATATACGATCGAAAAAATTATGAGGACACCTATAAAGTATTTTTCAAATCTTCATTAGGGTGATACTGAGCAAACAATGAGTTCAGTCATACTAAATTCATCAAAATGCTACAGTTTAGATTTTTTTTTTTTTTTTTTTTTTTTTTTTTTTTTTTTTTAACATACAGCTTCAACTATAGTAAAAAATCTGCATGGCTCCTAAAGTGATTAAAAAGGAAGGATATCTCTGTACACTATCTTCTAAAACTGTATGTTAAAATTCAACAGCAATTACATTAAGTGGCTATTCTAGTTTTTATTTTCATATTCTTTGAGCTAAACTACAACATATCTAACAGTACAAATGTGATATATTTTACAAAATGTTGCTATTAATGACCAGATACAAATTGGAAATAAGTAGAACCCTCCATGTATCATTACTACATGCCATGATCAAAATGTAGATGTATGTACCAACTACTAATGCTCTCAAAATGGATGCACAATGTAAGCTGAGTGACACTGATTGTGGCATGAATATCGATACTTATCAATTCAATGACTGCGTAAGATTTCTGTTTAAGTTCCAGATACTGTATGTGCTGCATTAGTGAAACTGAAATATGTTCTTTCATGTTACGGCTTTAATAAACAGCAAGCATGGTGATCTTCTCTACTAATGTGGTTGAAATATGGCTGTTGCTGCTGGACTGGATTGTCCTTGACATACATATTCCTGACATAAAGCTTTTTGTATGTGCGATTATATGTTCTTTCCTGTGTGCTGTGTTTGTGTCCTTTGAACTCAACTTATCATTGTATTGGCCTGTACTTTGGTGAGGTTGATTAAAATTTCCTCTGAAGTCTTGGAACACTACACTAATCTTCACAGAAATAAAATTTATATCACAGATGCAGCTAAAAACTAAAATATTGATGCAGCAATGAGGACTTCAGTTAGAATGATAAATAATTTAATGTATCTAAACTGTCACAGATCTGATGTTATTGTGAAAGGAAGAAGCCAGCTGAATGATAATCTCTTTCAGACATATTCTAGATATGTTATGATTGATCTCACTTGTTTGACAGTAAAATCAGATCATGGAAATAAAATCATCAAAACCAAGATGGCAAAAGATGCATCTGTTATTGCCTTGGACATCTTAGAGGTGACAGCATGGTGGTGGTGGTGGTGGTGGAAAATTTTGGTGCATAACCCAGCGATTATGATGCGCCAAGTGTAAAAGTGATGCGCCAAAAGTAAAGTTATACAGTACAAGGTCCAAAATCCGGACTCGTCGGGACTTCGGCGATTCCAGATTTGGGATTTTTCCGAATATCAAATCAGCAATTTAAATCTGGTATGATGGCATGCAGAAATTATACAAATAAAAATGAAATCATAATTTATGAAATAAAGAACAATTATGATCTAAAGAGTATCAAAATTTACACAAAAAAGCTAATATTTATTTTTTTTTTTTTTACTTTATTAAACATTTCTTTCAATTTAAGTTAAGTTGCTTCCACAAAAAATTCAAAAAGTTCCTTTTTCTTTTTTCTTATGTCATATACAGTTGACTTTCCAATGCCATACTCCTTGCATAGTTTTAAGACGGATTATAGATCCTTTGGCAGCTCCAGAATTGGAAACTCTTTTCGACACAATGGAAAGTTCAAGCTTAGTTTTTATAAAATTGCCATAATAATATCAGTCTGCAAAAAATAATTAGATGGATCACATTAGAAGATTAGGGAGCAGCACAGTCTGCTACATTAACTGAAATGCTTTAGAATTAGTAAAGATAATTTTACTCTAGCTTAATAGCGTCTGTTATACATTATTAGCTGTGTATCAGAAGATAGGTGATGAAAGCCAAGTTGTTTCACTGAATTTTGTCTTGCTCCTATTGCATACTGAATTAAGCTTGAATTGTATTAGTTTAGTTGTTTACTATACCTATGTTTATTTCTTGCACATGCTTAAAACTAATCTGAGTCCTCAATAAATACACTCTCACATATATTTAAGGCCGGCGCTAGATACTACCTGGTGCAATCTCTACGGGTCCTAAATTCGGCTACAAAGTACCTCCCTAAGTTCTAAATTTTCACCATGCCTAAACTTTGGATACCAGTGCTTTCTTTAAATCATAAAAAACATCTTATCCCTTAATTTTGATGCTCGGTGCTTCCCCAAATTTCAAAAATTTCATCTTTCCTAAATTTTGCCGTCCGGTGCTGACATATTCTGCTGCCGCTTCTGGCTTTATGGTGATTAATATATCAGTTATTCTTAATTAAAATAAATAGCACTAAATGTAATCTTTTGGCCTATGAGTTTAATTAACAAAATCTATTTTTAGCATATGAAAAGAAATTTTGGCTGAATTTTTTTCGTCAACATATCTTAGAGCATTTAAAAATCTAATCATCGCTAAGCGTAATGCTAGCATAAAAGGTTGCCATACTCTTGTTATTCAATTACTAATTAAAAAAAAAGTTTAGACATCACTGCATGAGTTAATACTGAAGCTGTCATGTATTGATAAACATGTGGTGATGAAAGCAAAATATAATAAATAAATGACTCGCCAGGTCGGGGTCAGGGATGTAAAATAGCTAAATGTTTGGATTTGAGATGTATGCCAAATAGATACTCAGCTACAGAGCCAAACTATAAATCTCAGAAATTTATGCTTACATGATTGTTTTTTCCAAAACAGGGTATTTTATTTAGTGCATAAGTGAAATTAAGAATCGGAATTTTTAAGTGAAAATCTCTACATGTTTTATTATGGAAGGAAAAATTAAATGTGCATGCGTAAAGCATACAAAAAAAAAAAAAAAGATGTTTGTGGCTGTGAGGTCCAGATTTTAGACTTTGTCCTGTACATATAAGCATGAAAATAAATAACTCTCAGAAACAATCTCCAAATTCCCACAAAAGTATATCTATGGGAAGGAGGGAAACAGCATAACTGGGTGACATAATTGAGTATAAGAATAAAATGAAGGTATGAAATAAAAGGACAGCAATGGTAGAAATTTGAGAGTAAAGTTTAAAAACTATTTTCTGTGTGGAAAACACTTGTCTGAAATTGGTATATGTCAAAAGGCCAAATGCAGTTAAAATTTAAATGTGATAATACATTTTAATAGACTTTACAAACCTAAAGATATTAAAACGGGCTTGTTCCCCAATTAAATCTATTAGTGTAAGATTTGTTTTATGAAAAAACAGTAACCTAAGAGGATTAAAAATTAAATCTATCAGTGTAAGACTTGTTTTATGAAAACCAGTAACCTAAGAGGATTAAAAAAAAAAAAAAAAAAAAAAAAAAAAAAAACAGTAAAAGATTATAAATAATTAAAATAACGGGCCATAATAACTGACAGTGCTCACAGTGTTCTGTAGCGCGATCTATTTGCGAGAATGACGCCACATTTTGTAGGAAGATTAAACAAGACGGGGGAACGAAGGATTCCGCGAAAAAAAATTAGTTCCAAAAGTCACCGCTAGGGGAATATTTGGCGCTGTGTAATAGAAAATAGAGTGTTAACAAATGCAAATCAATACGGAAATTACCTTTTATTTTGCATTCAAATGAGGTTCAATGTGGCTGCCGTTGTTGTGGACCACATATTGCATTCTGTGCACAGTATGCACAACAGCAGAAAGTAACATGTCTGCAGGAATCTCCCGTACAGTCCGTGATATGTTATCCTTCAACGTAGCCAGGTCCTGGACCACTCCTTGATAGACCTTGGACTTAAGGTAACCCCATAGCCAGAAGTC